AAATAAAGGACAATTTCATTATTGGCTTTGTTTGAAATAACCATTWAGATAGAGATTTATCTGATGAACAGCACTATTCAACTGATCCAAGTATCATGAAGTTAATAAAAATGTCAATTATTATATCGACAATGTACTTCATACCATTCTCTTTTGAAATGAATTTCTTGCTGGTCCTGATGGAGAATGAAATGGTCTGTTRTATGGCCCAGGTTGAGATGGTGCTGGTGCTTGGTTATTGGTGTTAGACTGGCCTCTGGGCCCAACAGCAGTGGGTCGTGATTGAGTAGATGGTGATTCTGATTTGGGGGTTACTTGAGATGGACCTTGTCCATAAGACTGGTATGGTACTGGGGGCTTTATAATAAACAATAAATTATACTAAGAAATAACTCAGGGCTTAACCGATATACATTGTAGCTGTAAAGACAGTTTCCTAACTCACAGGTTTTCATTTCAATTCATCTGATCAAAAATTAATTACCACAATACTTTTAATCATGGGAAAAATAATGTACTTACTGTAGGTGTGGCTCCATTTTGTGGGAAATAAGATGGATAAGTGTTTGCATACACATTAAATTGTGTGCCAGGAGGTGGATAAGCATAGCCAGGATATCCATAAGCCTGGTAATATTGCCTATAAGGAGGAACTACTGCTGTATTTACTACATTATTATTGGCATTCTGTACTGGTTTTGCCTTCTGTGGACTAGATGCTGCTACTTTAGCAAGTGCTTGCTTAGCTTTCTCCCAAGCAGGATTCTCAGCTGGCTTGTTTTCACTAGTATCTGCTGAGTTGCTGGATTGAACATTGTTTGATGACTGCTCAGGCTTGGTATCATATTGCTGAGACCTTGRAAAGTGATATGAAAATATGTCCATGTGATGTATATAACATTGTAAGAAAATATGTAATATCAAGAAGATGATGAAAAAACATATGACTTGTCAATGATCCAATGTTTGGTCAAAAGGATCAATATTTAATTTATGTCATGGGGAAACTTTCAATTTCATTATACAATATCCAAGAACAAAATATATCAGCCATGGAATCTACAAGCTTGTTGTGACTCAAGGATTATCATATGAAATGTGTTTTCCTTAAAAAATTGGCAGTGACAATTTCCGTCATTTTGCAAGTAAACAGTATGTACTTGTAATTAAAAATATCTAATTCAGCAAAAATTCATGGTTTCACTTTCAAATCACAAGCGTAGAAACCCGAAAGTGGCAGAACCAAATAGGAACATTCTCTAACGAAGCGTTGTAAAATTAAGAAATGGAATTCCAAAAGTTCATCTTCAGCTTATTTTTTACATTTTCATATAACTCAAAACGATGCACACAAAAAATACAAAAGCGTCTTTCATCTTCGATTCTCCATCGAAGTTAAAARGACATTCATCACGAGTTCACTGGCAACAAAACAACGGCACATTTTTCTTCGACATCGTCAACAATGATCATCATGTCCTCAACAATGTCCTTTTCTTGAGRCTTACGTATAACATCGAAGAACTTACCATGATGCTGCAGCAGTAATATTACTTGCCGTCCAMCCTGATATCATTTTTACGGTTCTAGGTTTAATATTTTTGGGGAAAAATCGAAAAATCTCGGAGCGCCAAAARATGTAATCTACTTCGCCTTCATTATGACGTCTGACAATGGTTTCCTGGTGCATTGTAGGTAACCTAATAGGGTGGTCAATGCAATACAAGAATCTCATTCCCTCTGACCCATCTATTCTACTGCGCAGGTCACTTTTTTCCGCCATCTTGGATTTTGAGTAAGTTTGGTAAACCGAAAGGTAAGATTTGAAAATTATT